GAAGCCATTTTCTTAATATTACTCCTTCCCCCCCACCCACCCCCCGCCCCCCAAGCAGCCCAGGACTCGTATAGCTCCTGTCTTCTTTTTGTTGCTCATTCAGTTAGATCCTTAGCCTTATCTCTGACAATGCCTGACTGGTTGGCATAAAAGCAGCACTCTTCTCCTAAGAAGAGGCAGATTCCACCTTTTTCTGCTGCTAGTAAGTCTAATCCTCTTGTATTCTGTAGTACTACCGTGGCGAAGGAATCAACTTGATCCTGCAAGACGATTAGAGTCTCAGCTACTCTCTCTATATCTTCTGAAAATTCTTGGGTTAAAACTTGATAAGAGGAGATAGAGTGAGCTATTACCCCTCCCCCTCCCCCGGCTCCTATGCCTCCCGCAACTCCGAGTGCTATTAGAAGGGGAATCACTTGCAGAGCCCTTTTATATCTAGTTACTGCTTTAAGGGGGGTTTCAAAGGATTGGTTGTTGGGTATAATAGACATATCTGAAGTTAGATAGCCAGCAGTGCACACACCCGTCCAGTTAGCAGGCAGGCATGGGTAAGCAGTGGTCCCACACACGTCGAATATTCCTGCAGGGGGGCACCAGGGGGAGGTGGTGTTTTCAGCCTTGAGAGTGGAGTTGCCTAGATCATCTGCGAGGCAACCTGTTGGATGCTGGCCCTGGGTACTGTCCAGTAGACCTGTCTTTTCCTTATACAGAGCTTTACTCCAGTGTAGCAGTAGCTCCCCTGATAAGAGGAAAGACTTAATAGTGTCATCCTGGGTCCTGGTTAAGCAGGAGCAGGACGGATATGTAGTTGCAAGGGAGAGTGGGAACATACAGGCTATGATTAAGGGAAGTATGTTATTCCCCCTATTCCTGTTCACTGGGGGTCCACAGCAGTGAACCGCTAGAACGAAGAGTAGCATAATAAATATTCCTGCAAGGCAAATGTAGCCAAGGATGGCATGACAAGGTGTGGTCCAGCAATTCATGATGAGGCCTTCGTTTCCTTGCTGTGGTGCATGCAGCCGGGGAGGATTTTCAAGATCTGGGGTCACCTTCCACTCGGACTGATGGCGCACGTCTACTGGCAGTGAATTCTCTCAACATTTGTTCGTCTGAGAAAGTCTTTATTTCTCTTTCACTCTTGAAGGATATTTTCACAGAGTACAGAACTTGAGGTTAGTGGTTTCTCTCTTCAAAAGAGAGTTCCCAGTGACTCTTGCAAAAATGAGTATTTAGTTAAAAGCCAACCCTGCCTCCAATTTAATCAGGCTAATGAAATTGTAATTTCACAGTATTATTTTTTCTTAACATTAATTCTGGGAAAATATCAAAAGGTGTTCAAGCAGTTTTAAACTTCTAATGTTTTTCACTTTTCACTACTCCTTTAACATTTCAAAGAGCTACTTTAGTCATTTTAAACGACTATTTTGATATTCTTAAGGGACATGTACATTTCAGAAAATGGGAAAAACCAAAGTGAAGGAAAATAATACTGCAATCTATTGTCCCAGAAAGGACACTTTCGATTTAGATGCACAGCTTTCAGATATTTTCAACTTTAAAAAATGGGATTATTCTTGTGGTAAAGTTTGATGAATTTTTCACTTATATTCTAGGAAATTTTCTGTCAATTCAACTTAGCTTCTTACATGACAATTTAAAAAAAAATAAGAAAACAGATGTTTAATTTGTTGATGTCTTTCACACTCAGGGTCTAAATGTGAGACCAACAAGTTACGTCCCGATCATTGCAACAAACCTGGGCAAAGCATCTACCAGAAACCAGTTTCTGCAGCACGAAAAGGTCCCACAGGAAAGAGAGGCTGCACGAAAAATGCACTCCTGAAGAAACCCAAGAAAGTGCATCCAGGGAAGAAGGCTTTAAAATGTAATGACTGTGGGAAAACCTTTAGTCAAAGCTTGTCTCTGAAACTTCATCAGAATTCCCACACTGAAGAGAGACCTTACGAATGTAGTCATTGTAGCAAAGCCTTCAGACAGGTCTCATCCCTCCTCCTCCATCAGAGAATTCACAGTGGAAAGAAAAGCCACGAATGTGATGAATGTGGGGAAAGCTTCACGCAAAGAACCACGCTTCTTCTACATGAGAAAAGTCATGGTGGAAAGGGAACCTTTGACTGTGGGAAGGCCTTGAGTCCGTGTCCAACCCTCAGGATACATCAGAAAACTCTTCTTGATGAAAATGCCCACCAGTGCAGGAAGCGTGGGAAATCCTTCATTCGAAGGTCATCCCTTTCACTTCATAGGAAGATCCACAAGGGAAAGAAAATCCACGAATGCAGTAAATGTGGGAGAGGCTTCCGAAAGAAATCAGTCCTTGTTCTACATAAAAGAGTTCATGCTGGAGAGAAAACCAATGAGGGTGAGAAGGCCTCGAGTCAGCAGAGCAGCCACCATGTAGAGAATCCTTATAAATGTAGAAAATGCGGGAAATCTTTTAGTAGGATCGCATCCATCATGCTTCATCAGAGAATTCATGCTTCGGAGAAACCCTACAAATGCCCTAAGTGTGAGAAGGTGTTCCAGCGGCTTTCAACCCTTATCCTGCATCTAAAAATTCACAGTGGAGAGAAACTGTACAGGTGCAATAAATGCGAGAAGGTCTGTCATCGGCATTCGTCCCTCATTCAACATCAGAAAGTCCACACAAGGAAAAAGAAACTCTTTGAATGTAAGGAATGTGGGAAGATGTTTTCTGAAACTGCCAACCTTAAAATACATCAGAACATTCATTCTGAAGAGAAGCCTTTCAAATGCAACAAGTGTAGTAAAGTTTTCGGCCGCCAGTCATTTCTTATTGAACATCAGAGAATTCATACCGGAGAAAAACCGTACCAGTGCGAGGAATGTGGGAAAGCCTTCAGTCACCGAATATCTCTCACGCGTCACAAGAGAATCCACACGGAAGACAGGCCGTATGAGTGCGATCAGTGTGGCAAGGCCTTCAGTCAGAGCGCGCACCTCGCCCAGCACGAAAGGATCCACACTGGAGAGAAACCGTACACGTGCAAGACCTGCGGGAAGGCCTTCAGTCAGCGCACTTCCCTTATTCTGCACGAAAGAAGTCACACAGGAGAGAAACCCTACGAATGTAATGAGTGTGGGAAGGCCTTCAGCAGTGGCTCGGACCTCATCCGGCATCAGAGAAGTCATTCCTCAGAGAAGCCCTACGAATGCAGTAAATGTGGGAAGGCGTACAGCCGGAGCTCATCCCTGGTTCGACATCAGAATTCACATGCAGAAGAAAAAGCCTAAGGGTGTTAACAAAAGCAAAGACTGAGTCTCAAAGGAGCAGATGCAGAGGCAAGGGGAAAGTGCATTGGTCTCTAACATACATTTTGTAAAAATGGGGCCGTTTGATGATGCTTCCCCCTTTGAAAGCCAAAGGACAAAAGTCCTTGATGACTTTGACCTAAGAATCTGAAGTCAGCTGAGGCAGAGACCTTATCATAGGTCTTCATTCAGCTCAGATGGTTGGATCAGTCATTTTTCATAAAGACAGTTCTTCATTTGATAAGAATCACTGATATTTTTTTTTAAATATATATTTTATTGATTTTTTACAGAGAAGAAGGGAGAGGGATAGAGAGTTAGAAACATCCATGAGAGAGAAACATCGATTAGCTGCCTCCTGCACGCCCCCCAGTGGGGATGTGCCCGCAACCAAAGTACATGCCCTTGACCGGAATCGAACCCGGGACCCTTGAGTCCGCAGGCCGACGCTCTACCCACTGAGCCAAACCGGTTCGGCAGAATCACTGATATTTTATTTCCAGTGTAGTTTTCCTTTATTGTTTTGTTTTTTAAATATATTTTTTACCTCAGAGAGGAAGGGAGAGGGAGGGATAGAAACATGAGTGATGAAAGAGAATCATGGATCAGCTGCCTCCTGCACACCCCACAATGAGGATCGAGCTCACAACCCAGGCATGTGCCCCTGACCGGGAATTGCACCATGACCTTCTGGTTCATAGGTGGCCCCTCACCCAATGAGCCACGCCAGCTGGGCTCCAATGTACTTTTAAAGTTATTTTAAAGTGGAATTGTAGCTATTTCATTGGTCACATACAACAAAGTGGAACTGTCCATTTTTTGGATGGGGCTTTGAGCCTGATTTAACGTCACATGAAGAGTTTGGGTTGGTCCCCGTAGAATGAGAACTATCACATGTAAGGAAGGGACTTTCTGGAAAACCAGGGTACCACTTTCAGCTGATAGTCATTTTTTGGGTGATCATAACGAAGAGTGAATCCTGGAGTGGATAAAGATGGCACAGTTAACAATCCTCACGGCTAATGAAGGAAAGAAAAACATGACATACTGAAGAATGAGGAACTTCAGAGCAGAGAGAAATTACTTGTTTTATTTGAAAAAAAAACTTGTCTATATTTATATGAATAAACATCAGTATTTTCATGTAAGAACACTGGTGTGCAATAAGTAATTGTTGAAGTCCAACCAAACCCCCAATGTACTGGTCTTTGGAAATGGGGCCTTTGAGAAGTAATGAGGGTTAGAGGAGGACAGGAGGGTGGAGCCGTCATGACAGGATTTGTATCTTAACCCTTTGCGGTCCAATTTTATTTTTGGAATTCAGACAGTCTGGTCCAAATTAATTGATGGGATTGAATGTTGAACTTTTTATGTTCTTATTTTAAAGTTTAAACCAAAAATTCACTGGTTATATTATTAAGTATGTTCAATCAAAGAGTTTATTCTTTAAAACATTTCATAGTGTGATATCTTTTTTAAAAAAATATATTTTATTGATTTTTTATAGAGAGAAAGGGAGAGGGATAGAGAGTGAGAAACATCGATCAGCTGCCTCCTGCACACCCCCCACCGGGGATGTGCCCGCAACCAAGTTACATGCCCTTGACCGGAATCGAACCTGGGACCCTTGAGTCCGCAGGCTGACGCTCTATCCACTAAGCCAAACTGGTCAGGGCAGTGTGGTATCTTTTTTTTTTTTTTTTTGATATTTTACAGAGAGGAAGGGAGAGAGATAGATAGTTAGAAACATCGATGGGAGAGAAACATCGATCAGCTGCCTCCTGCACACTCCCCATTGGGAATGTGCCTGCAACCCAGGTACATGCCCTTGACTGGAATCGAACCTGGGACCCTTGAGTCCGCAGGCCGACGCTCTATCCACTGAGCCAAACTGGTCAGGGCAGTGTGGTATCTTTTGAAACATTTCCTCACATGCAACCCAGCACCTTACTGACCATGCATATAATCGCAACGGTTTGCGATGTCAACCTCAGCTCCACGTTGGACCTGCTCCTAGCACCTGGTCTGTCCAGTTAGCCTGGACGTTGGACCCAAAAGGGTTAAAAAGTAAGAGCACCAGGGAGATTCGCTTTCTCTCTGCCAGGTCAGGACACAGGAAGAAAGACCAGTGTCTACAGCCAGGAAGCATTCCACCATGCTGGCTCCCTGATCTAGGACTCAGCCTCCTGAACCCTGAGGAATGAGTTTCTTTTGGTTGAAGCCACCCAGTCTGTGGTATTTTTTTATGGCACCTTGAACGGACTAACACATGGGGAAAACCCTGGATTTCTGTACCAGGCTCCTCCTGGGAACTGTTCACCATAATGGCTTTGTCTCCTCCTACCTTGTGCAGCATATCTAAGGCAGAATCAGAGTTCTTTCTTGTAAATTGGTCATATACAGTTGGATGCTTCTCTGTGCATTTTCCCTCTGCAAAAGCTGTTGTGTGTTTTTTTTAAAATGTTTTATTGATTTCACAGAGAGGAAGGGTAGAGGGAGAGAGCGAAACATTGACAAGAGAGAAACATTTGCCCTGGCCGCTTTGGCTCAGTGGATAGAGCGTCGGCCTGCGAACTGAAAGGACCCAGGTTCGATTCCGATCAAGGGCACATGCCCGGGTTGGGGCTCGATCCCCAGTGGGGGACTTGCGGGAGGCAGCCAATCCATGATTTTCTCTCATCATGGATGTTTCTATCTCTCCCTCTTCCTCTCTGAAATCAATAAAAATATATTTTTAAAAAAGAGAGAGAGAGCCAGAACCAGTTTGGCTCAGTGGATAGAGCGTCGGCCTGTGGACTCAAGGGTCCCAGGTTCGATTCTGGTCAAGGGCATGTACCTTGGTTGCGGGCACATCCCAGTGGGGAGTGTGCAGGAGGCAGCTGATCGA